CTGAATAATGGAGAGACTTACCATGTTCATGAATTGGTTGGCATATCATAGCAAAGATGTCGTGTTTCCCAAATTGATCTATAGGCTCAATGCAGTTCCTTTCAAATTTCCAGCAAGGCAAGTTTATCTTAAACTCAAATGGAAAGGCAAAGGAATTGGAACACTGAGTGATGCTGGGAGAAAATAAAATGAAGTTAGAGGAATCATACTACTGTTATTAAGACTTAGTATAGGCCAGGCGCAGTGGCTCACACCTGTAATCCCAGAACCTTGGGAGGCCAAGGCAGACAGATCACCTGAGGTCAGGAGTTCGAGACCAGCCTGGCCAACATGACGAAACCCCATCACTACTGAAAATACAAAAATTAGGCGAAGTGGCGTGTGCCTGTAATCCCAGCTACTGGGGATGCTGAAGCACAAGAATTGCTTAGACCCGGGAGGCGGAGGTTGTAGTGAGCCGTGTTCATGCCACTGCATTCCAGCCTAGGTGACAGAATGTGACTCCATCTCAAAGACTTAGTATATATCTCTAATATATCCATCTCAAAGACTTAGTATATATCTCTAATAATTAACACAGTGTGGTGTTGTCAGACTTAGACACATGCAGTGAAACAGAACAGAGAACCCAGAAGAGACTCACACAAGTATGGCCAGTTTATTTTTAATCTTAATTTTTATTTTTTGGAATAGGATCTCGCTTTGTCACCCAGGCTAGAGTGCAGTGGTATGATCATAGCTCACTGCAGCCTCAGCCTCCTAGGCTCAAGCAATCCTCCCGCCTCTGCCTCCTGAGCAACTGGGACTACAGGCATGTTCCATCATGCCTGGTTAATTTTTTTTTTTTTTTTTAATATAGGATCTCGCTCTGTCACCCAGGCTGGAGTGCAGTGGCATAATCTCAGCTCCCCATAACCTCTAACTCCTGTGTTCAAGCTATTCTTCCACCTCAGCCTCCCCAGTAGCTGGGACTACCGGTGCGTGCCACCATGCTCTGCTAATTTTTGTATTTTTTGGTAGAGTTGGGGTTTCACCATGTTTGCCAGGCTGGCCTCCTGACCAACCTGGTGATCCACCCACCTCAGCCTCCTAAAGTGCCGGGATTATAGGCATGAGCCACTGTTCCTGGTCCATGCCTGTTTTTATTGTTATTGTTGTTGTTTGTTTCAATTATTTTCTATAGAGACAGTCTCTCTATGTTGCCCAGGCTGGTCTTGAACTCCTAGACTCAAGGGATCCACCCAACTCGGTCTCCCAAAGTGTTGGCACCAGTGCCCGACCTGGTCAATTTATTTCTGACCAAGGTGCAAAGACAACTTAATGTGACATGTTGGAAAGAGTAGGACATTCTTAGGCAAAGAAAAAAGGAGCCTCAATCTAAACCTCATACCTTATATAAAAATTAACTTAAAATAGATCATAGGTGAAAAACATAAATCTGTAAACCTTTTAGGAGAAAACGGTGGGGGGGCGGGTGGAAATCTTTGTGACCTGGAATTAGGCAGAGTCAATTTAGACATTAAACCAAAACACAATCCATAAAATATCAGTAATTTGGACGTCATCAAGAGTAAAAATGTCTGTTTTATGAAAGATGTTAAGAGAGTAAAAAAATAAGCTTAAGACTGGGAGAAAATACTTACAAATAATTGTATCACTACTGAAGGACTTGAATTCAGAATAAAGAAGTCTCGAAACGCAATAGTAAGAAAACAATTTAGTTTAATAATGGATAAAAGACTTGAACAGACATGTCACCCAAAAAAATATACAAATGGCAAATAAGTACATGAAAAGATGTTCAACATAATTAGTCATTAGAGAAATGCAAATTTAAACCACATAGTGATACTATTACCTACATACTTGAATCACTTCAGTAAAAACACTATCAAGTCCTGAAGAGGATGTGGAGAAACTAAAATTCTTATTGCTAGTGGGAATACAAAGTGATACAGTGACATTGGAAAAGAGATTGACAGTAAAGCTAAACATACCTTTACCCTTTGACCCAGAAATCCTACCCCTAGGTACTTACCCCAGGGAAGTGGAAACCTATCTTCACACAAACGCTGATACATGAATGTTTATAGCAGCTACATTCATAATTGTCCCAAACTGGAGATCCCACATGTCCTTCAACCAGTAGATGGATAAAGAAACTTTGTTACATATGGCAATAAATACTACTCAGCAGTTAAAAAGAACAAGCTTTGTTATATGTAATAGCTTGGACAAATTTCAAAGGCACCATTTTGAATGAAGGAAGCCAATCTGAAAATTGGCTGTAAAATTACATGCTGTATAGAGTCATTCATTTAAAAAAAAGAATTTTACCAAATTAACAAAAAGAGGTTGAATGCACATCGCCCTAGAAGTAGAGACCCCAGATGTAAAACTGCCCTATTCTTTCACGTGAAGGAAGACATGAAGCAAGTATAGTTGTAGCACCTAAATGAAAACACAGAAAATATGTTCCTGTCCTGATACTCAGAGTTTTTCCTCTAGACTTTTATATGTCAAATACACCATATATGGCCACTTTTAAGACAATAGAACAAATTGTACATAATTCATGTTCCTAAGGCAGCAAGACTAGATAACTTTAAATTTTTTATATGCTTTTTAAAAGTATGTTATGTATTTCAGTTTTTCCATATACTTTAAATTCCTTGTATCTCAACCCTCCACCACCATCACTGCTACACATACATGCACACGTTCTTCTCTAGGATTTTTCTGTAAATTTTACATCTCTAGGTGGGGAAGTGGGGAAGAGAAGCAGGTTTTTTACAGCTGATATGATCACTGTACAGATAGGCTTGGAAAATGCTACCCAATCTGCCAATTAATTAAAGCATTAATCTGAGGAGCAGCCGGGCCCAGGGAATGTTTACTCAGGAAGGGGGTGGGGGTGGTAGGAATTGAGTAGGCAGCCCCCTACATTTGCATGAAAATGAAGGTGCTTAGGAAACCCTGCTTCCTTTTTGTCTCTAAAGGTGGGGCAACCTAGATCACATCCCTAAACATTTTTAGTCTCTTTAGGAAGCATTTTAGGGAGCTGGTCTCTCTGAAAGATGAAAGCACAGCAGAATCTAGAAAAACAAATTAAATCCTGGCCATAGTAGGATAGGGAGCACGTACAGTGTAGTAGTCTTTGACCTGGAATGGAATCTTCTAAATTCAGGAGTAAAATTTCATCTATTCAGGTAGAACAGATGAATGGGTTTTACAAGTTTTGGAACCATATAGGCATATAGGCTGGATTCAAATCCCAGCTCTGCATATTACTTGTGTGATTTGGGGGCAATCATGTATCTTATCTGAGCCTTTTCTCATCTGTAAAATAGATTATCAATTGCCCGTTCATCTCAGAGCAGTTACTCTAGGCAGGAAACAGGCTAGAAAATGATTGGGAACTTCAGAAAAAATAACTATTGGGTACTGTGCTTAGTACCTGGGAGACAAAATAATCTGTACAACAAAGCCCTGTTACATGAGTTCACCCGTATAACAAACCTGCACATGTATGCCTGGACCTAAAATAAAAGTTAAAAAAATAATAAATAAAATGTATTATAACCTAAAAAAAAATTTTTTTTAAAGAGGGTGGATGTCAACTGGGATACACAGCACAAGCTAGAAAAAAAAAAAAAAAAAGATGGCAGAACTCAGAGGATTGGAAATCAACTTTGCCAAGATTTGGATGGTTCTGTCATAGTTATAATAAGCAGACTGAATTGAATCACCTAATTTATTTTAAACTAATTATAAAACAATGAAAATGAAGTTCAAAAAGGTGTAAGTGATGGTTTTATTGGCAAATTTATAGGGGTAGTGTATGAAGTCACTTCCAGGAGCAGATTTAGTTGCTCTCCTTACAACTGAAAGCTTCAATTACTACATTTAAACTTTAATGTAACATTATATCTACATGTGAAGAACATCTACATATGAAGCTGTAATTTCAGGTCTGAAGCAGCTGTAAAATGAAAGTTACCACTCCATTCTAGTCCTTGGATATCAGTATATTCCCCTTCACCTTACACCCTGCAAAAAAAAAAAAAAAATGTTTGGGAACTTCTAAGATTACAGACTGCCTCCATTCCATGACTGGGAGACTGCTCAGACTTTTGTTCTTGTTAAACTAGTTTTTCAACAAGGGACTATACACCTCAAGGTTTCCTCTCAGCCTCCTGGAATATGCTGCACTCTTTCTCTAAGAGAAGTGACCCTGACCATAACAGCAAAGAACATAAAAACAGAAGCCCACTCTGGGACTTAAGGGTTATGTTGGCTTTACCCAAGTTGAGGCTACCTATTTATATCATAGGGGAGGGTGGTGAAATGGGCATGAAAAATTGACTCACAATATTTGATGATATTGAAGAATTATTCATTTTTAAAAATTGTGATAAAATACATATAATGCAAAATTTACCATTTTAACCATTTGTTAACTTTTTATGACAATGTTGTGGGGCGGGCATGGTGACGCACACTTGTAATCTCAGCACTTTGGGAGGCCAAGGTGGGCACACTGCTTGAGGTCAGGAGTTCAAGACCAACCTGGGCAACATGGTGAAACCCCATCTCTACTAAAAATACAAAATTAGCCAGGCATGGTGGCAGACACCTGTAGTCCCAGCTACTGAGGAGGCTGAGGGGCTTGAGGTGGAGATGGAGGTTTGCAGTAAGCGGAGATCAT